ATAACACTTGGAAGGTAGCTAGATGAGTTTTGATACTGGTTCGGGGTAAGAGAACCTGTACGATATATATGACTATTGGTTTAGTTAACAATGTTGATACTACTGTTGCAGAGAGCACAACAGAGTTGTGACATTGCAGACTTGGCCATATGAGTCAGAAGGGCATGAAAAAACTTCAATCCAGAGGTAAACTAGCAAATCCGAAGTCAGTTGATCTCAACATGTGTGAGAGTTGCATTATGGGGAAATAGAGGAAGATCAGTTTCTTGAAAAGTGGCAAGACCCCAGAGGCAGGAAAACTGATTTTGTACACACAGGTGTGTGGGAACCTTCTGCAATGACATCTCTCGGAGGCTCTCATTACTACGTTACATTCATTGATGATCGTAACAGAAAGGTATTGGTCTATTTCTTGAAGCATAAATCAGATGTATTTATTGTGTTCAAGACTTGAAAGGTCATGGTTGAGACAGAGACATAAGCTGAAATGTCTAAGGTCTGATAACGGTGGTGAGTACATTGATGGCGAGTTCAAGGAGTATTATGCAGCTTAGAGAATCAGAATGGAGGAGAATTTCAGGGACAACACAGCAAAATGGTGTTGCATAACGCATGTCCATGACCATTAATGAGTGGGCTAGAAGCATGAGATTGCTCGCCAGACTACTACCTACCTTTTGGGCAGAAGCGTTTAGCACTGCAGTTTATTTGATCAACAGGGGGTTATCTATTTCATTACATTGTGAATTGTCTGAGGAGGTCTGGAGTGGGAAATATGTTAAATTTTCTCATCTTAAAACTTTAGGTTGTTTTTCATATGTTCTCATTAATCCTGTTTTTCATAAGTGAAAGAAGTGTTATTTTATTGGCTGTAGAGAAGACATTTGTATATTGTTTCTGGGATGATCAGTATCGGAAGATCATAAGGAGTAGAAATATGATTTTCAATGAAAAGTTTATATACAAGGACAAGTTCAGTACAGTTTCTGAAACAACACTGCAAAATTTGAATTGGTAAGGTTTGATAATTTACCAGAGGTCACAGTGCAAGACAGAGGTGCAGGTGATGAAGAGAGTGGGTCCGGGGCACCCATTCCTATTATTCCGCAGTCAGTTTCAGAGTAGTTCGCCCCTACAATTGCAGTTCGTAGGTTAGAAAGGACTACACGTTCTCCACAGCATTATTCTTTAACTTTGAACTACATTGTGTTGACTGATGGTGAAGAACCTCAGAGTTATGAAGAAACCTTGCAAGATGAAAATTCGAGCAAGTTGGAGCTTGTCATGAAGGAGGAAATGAATTCTCTGCTAGAAAATCAGACTTGGGAGTTGACAGAACTTCCACTTGGGAAGAAGACATTACACAATAAGTCGGTGTACCAAGTAAATATTAAGCATGATGACAATAAGTGGTACACGACTAGACTTGTTGTAAAAGACTTTCAGCAGAAGCATAATATTGATTATTTCAAGATTTTATCTCCTGTGGTGAAGCTCACAACCATCAGAGTGGTACTGTCTATGGTGACTACTGAAGATCTCTTCCTTGAGCAGTTAGTTGTGAAGACAGACTTTCTTCATGGGGATCTTGGAGAAGACATCTACATGCACCAACCTGAAGGGTTCGTGTTATAGGGAAATGGAGATTCAGTTTGCAGATTGAAGAAAAACTTGTATGACTTGAAGCAAGCTCTTAGAGTGATACATGAAATTTGATAATTTCATGCACAGTGCAGGGTACAGTAGATGTCAGGCAGATTATCGTTGTTATGTTACGTACTTTGACAATTCTTATATCATCATACTGTTGTATGTGAATGATATGCTTATTGCAGGGGCTGGTATTGATGAGATCAAAAATCTAAAGGAGCAGATGTCAAATTACTTTGTAATGAAGAATTTGGGAGCTGCGAAGCAAATCCTTGACATGAGAATTGTCAAAGATAGAGGCATGTTGAGACTCTCTCGGGCTGAGTATGTGAAAAAGGTACTTAGCAAGTTCAATATGGATAAACCAAATCAGTTGGGCAGTCACTTCAGACTCAACAAGAATCAGTCACCTAAGTCAGAGGAGGAACGATATCACATGAGTAAGATTCCTTATATTTGAGCTATTGATTCATTTATGTATGTTATGGTTTGCATCAGACCAAATATTGCCCATGCAGTGATAGTTGTTAGCAGATACATGAGTAATTATGGAAAGGAATAGTGGGAAGTTGTGAAGTAGATATTGAGGTATCTAAGAGAATCTTCAGAAACTTGCTTGTGTTTCTCAGCAAATAGTTCAGATGTACAAGGCTATATTGGTGTTGATCTAGCCGGAGACATTGATACTAGAAGAAATACTACGGGTTATATTTATACTCTTGGTGGCACAGTAGTGTCATGGAGCTCTAATCTGCATAAAACAGTTTTGTTGTCTACTATAAAAGCTGAGTATATAGCAGTGTCAGAGGCTGTAAAGGAGATGATATGACTACAGTGTTTCTTGGAAGAATTGGGCAAGAAGAATCAGAAGGACATTATCTACAATGACAGTCAAAGCGCATATTCCTTGTCATAAATTCAGCATTTCAGTCCATGACCAAACACATTCAGATCAGGTATCACTTCATACGATCATTGTTGGATGACAGACATTTGTTGCTTGAGAAAATTTGTGGAAGCCAAAACCCTGCTGATATGCTGATAAAGGGTGTTACTCTTGAGAAACTGAAGTTGTGTACAACGTTAGTTGGTCTTCTAGCTTTGAAGACAGTGACTTTGAGTTGCAGAAGTGGATGATATCAGTTTGAGGAAGAAGAAGATACAACCAATGTACCAGTCTCCAAGTAGAAAATTTGTTGATTTGGAGACAGGTCCATGAAAGAAAAAAAATTCCAGTCCGCCTGCTTCCCACGAAGCAAAGCGAAGCTTCGCCCTCCATGTCTCTCCTATTTCGTGAAATAAGAAAGCCCCGCCTCCTGTTTTTCACGATACAGTAGGAAGCTTCCCCTAATTCGCAAATTGAAGTAATCCCGCTCTCTTCTTCTTCCTGGCTCGCAAAACCGAGAGGTCTTCTCCCTCTTTTTCTTTCGACAATTTTCTTCTTTTGCTCGAGCAACAGGATTCAGTTTCGAGGAAAAAGTCAGCGGCGGAGGAAGCTGACAACGTAGAGGAAGAAGCAACGATGAAGAAAGGCATCAACTTTGTAATTCTTTGAAGTTGAAATAAGTGTTTTTTGTAATTGTTGAGAAAATCAACTGGTGTAATTCCTCAAGTAATAAAATTCTCTGCATATTCGTGGACGTAGGAAAAAATTGCCGAACCACGTAAATCTCTGAAGTTCTGCTGTGTTTTCTGGTGTGAATTTTCTCGTTCTTTTTTTCGCTTCGTCGTCGGTCGTTCTATTTTATATATATACACCACAACAGGTCGGGCCATGATATTTCATTCCCACTAAAAAAGCCTCCTATTAGAATTGGAAGACATGTTCTTTTCTATACAAGCAAGTATATTTCAAACTATTTTTGGCAACTCCTCTTGAGTCCATGGAACATATCAGTCTTTTTTAAACCTTTAAGCATTAAAGTATTTTATGACCAAAATCGCTTGGTATATATTCTTAATAGCCTATCAAATTTCAAACCACAATGCTTTATTTTTGAGATCATAATATATTTCGTGCAACATATCTTAAATGTTTTAGTTATATAGAAGAGGCATGTCTGGCCAATTTTGGCTCTATTTAATTTATCAACGGAGCGATCACCATGGAATTTTCAGCCTCCAAAGTCGTGTAGCCATTTTCCTCACAATTTTATTGTTTTGTAGCCCTAGTATTTTAGTTGATTTGTTCTTTGGCTTAGATCACCAGCTGAACGAATTGAGTCACTACCTCCCAATTTATATTTTTTTTGGATAGTTTGAAGAAAACGATACCTATTGAGATCACTCCCTCCCAATTGAGGGTATTCTAGATAATTTGTAGGAAGTGATGTTGATGAATCATAAGAGACATCTAGGAACCATAAGGGACATCTAAGAGATCTCTTCTTGTTCCAGCAATTATGATTGTTTTAACCCTAAGGAAAATTGAGGGCTGACGTTGATACCACAAAACATAGATGAAAAAAAACATTTCTTTGTTTTTATTCGTTCATACGCCCAAGATTCATTTTCTGGATCAATTATGATGGGAAAGGAAGCTAAATACAGGTGGATCTCACTTAAAAACAACAAAAACAAGAAAAAAACCATACTACAAAGCAAAGCAGGGAAATTTTTTATTTAATCTCTGCAAAAGAGATGCGCCAGTTGAGAAATTTTTGTGCTTCCATTTAATCATGTACTTCCGATTGCCATGTTGTAATCTTCATGCTATTGATATTAATTGTGCAGTTCAAAGTAAAATGATAATATATTTAGTAAAAATTAAATAACTAATATTGTCTGTAAACCTTAGCTGATGAGATTAAAGGAGGGATTTGTGTTCACTAAAATGGATTTTTGATTGCTTCCATATGAGCAAGAATTCCTTCTTTGATATGGATCATTCTTGTTTTTTTTTTCTTTTTGGTTGAAGATTATGAAGTAGTTTTGTAAAAAAAGAACTTCTGAAACTAGAGGATATGAAATGCCGTGCATGCTCGCCACTGAAAACATTTTGCTTTCCCTTTTTTTAAATTTTTTTCTGTTTTACTGCATTTCATATTTGCAGCAGCGTATGCATCTTTCTCTCTGCAAGACAAACTAGTCGCAAGAATAGCTCACTACATGCATACCCACTCAAATCTTTAACATCCATAACATCCAAAAAAAAAAAAAAATACCATCACAATCTTTTTAAAAGTGAAATACCCTTTTTCATGCATAGGTTTATCACACTAAGGTGTTATAAATGTAAATATCAAACTTCGAGTGTTAGATATGAAAATACATAAAAATTGTGTGTTGTGTCTGTAAAATTCCCTATTATATATTAGCTCTAATTTTATCCATAAAATTGTCAATTCCAGCTTCCAGATGCCAGTCCACAACAGATAAAGCAAGCATATTATAATTGCATGAAGGCTTGTCATCCAGACTTAAGTGGAAATGATCCAGAGGTTACAAACTTCTGCATGTTCATTAATGAAGTTTATGAGGTGAGCATTCTGGCATGAGTTCAAGATGAATTTATCAGAGTGGCATTTACATACATACCCACCCAATTCCTACATTTTAACATATCTAATTTCTAAACTTTAATTTTTTACATTTATGCCACCTAAATCTTTCTTACCACAACAACATTACTACCCTTTTAACTTTTAAAAAAGTGAAATACACCTTTTCCAGCACAGGTATGGTTTTATGTATGTAAAAATTGATGTATTAGATATGCCAATAAATAAGAATTGAGTGGTATGTATGTATATCTTCCTTTATCAAAACCAGGTTCAAGGTTTTTATCGGGTAAGCTGACCTGCAACTTAAATTAAATCTGAAAACTTTATGAAGAGCAGGTTCTTAGCGATCCTTTGCAGCGAATGATATATGATGAAATACATGGGTATGCATTGAGTGCAATCAACCCTTTCTTGGATGACACTGCTCCCAAGGATCACGTATTTGTTGATGAGTTTAGTTGCATAGGTATGTATGCTTCAAAAAATTATTTCTAATAGTTGGGCCATTTACATACATACCACCCAATTCCTACTTATTTACATATCTAACACCTAAACTTACAATTTTTAAATTAATACCACAAATCTTTCATATTAGTATATTACATAAAAAATATCTCTATTTTAACTTTTAAAATGTGAAATACACTTTTTCTTACATAAGGTGGCATATATGTAAAAAGTGAAGTTAAGGTGTTAGATATGCAATTACATAGGAGTTGGGTGGTATGTTTGTAAATCTTGCTTTATAGTTATATTAGAAAACCTTTATTGATTAAAATTGACAGTTTGTTAATTAGATCGAAGCGGACTAACCATAAAAATGTTGTCCGGCCCTTCATGGATTAGCGCTTAACATTTTTTATTCTTACATGATTGATAACCTGGCATTTAAGAATTCTCAAGATCTAATATGAATTCTTCTCCAATTTTGTTTTTTTTTCTTGAGCGTACAGGATGTAAAAATTGTGCCAATGTAGCATCAAATGTATTTCGAATTGAAGAAGATTTTGGAAGAGCAAGGGCTTGTTGTCAATCCGGGAATCCTGCCTTGGTTCAAGAAGCGATTGATAGCTGGTGAGCCTTTAACCAATAAAGCATAGACCTGAACCAATACTCTATTTCATTTGCATAAGATTTTGTCCTGTTATGAGGTACTGTTTTTGCTTAAGATAGGATAATATTTTGGATTCGCACGTGTGTGTGAAATTTACATACACAGCACACAGTTCTTATTTATTTACATATTTCACACCTCAACTTTCATATTCACATAAATGACACTGGTGCTTTATGTTTATATTGGTTTATGGTTCGTTATTTTTGCTTATTTCAATCAATATATTTGGTATGTTTTCAGCCCAGTTGATTGCATCCATTGGACTTCTGCAGCACAATTATCGCTGCTCGAAGATGAAAAAGAGTGAATGTAAAGTTAATCTTCAATCCTGCATGCTTTAAAAATATATGAAGTCATAAATTGAACTTTTCATATAAATAGTAATATTTTTTATCTGCTAGCATTTTGACAAGTCTCCTAATTAGTCGTGTAAAATCAGAGTATAGAACCATCGCCTTCAGAATCCGTGAAGAAATTTGGATTCTAAAATTATTAAGGGAATTGGGATGTACCTCCCATAAGTTTATACGAATATTTTGTGACAATCAAGCAGCTATTGGTAATGCAAAGAATTATGTGCATCATGACAAGACCAAATATATTGAAGTTGATAGACACCTCATCTCTGAAGATGTTAATTGGGGAATTATACAGCTCAGCGGTATCCCGACACACTAACAAGTTGTTGATGTCTTCACCAAAGCCCTTCCTTTAAGCATCTTTGCACAGTTCAATATACCAAGCTTGGTTTCCACAATACCTATAACCCAACTTGAGGGAGAGTGTAGAAATCTGAGAATATCCAGTTTTCTCTCTTTCTGCATCAGGTGGATCTGCCACTAGATTTCAAAATAGGGAAGATTTGATTGGGGCTAACTTAGGAAACTATTTATTAATCTATTCCTTTTTATTCTACAACAACAACAAGCCTTTATCCCACTAAGTGTGGCCGGCTACATGATTTTTTCCATTGTGTCCAATTGAGTGTCATATTTTCATTTAATTCTGATAACTTAAACTCATTTTTTATACAATATGCCCAAGTTTTGTTAGGTCTAACTTTACCCTTATTAACATGAGTCGAATCTAAAACATCTATTCTCCTAACCAGATCTCCAGATGGTCGACGTTTAATGTGACCAAACTATCTAAGACAACTCTCTCTAATATTATCTGCCGCTAGAGCTACACCAACCCTTTGTTTGCTACATTCACTTCAAATTTTGTCTCTAAGTGTCAAGCCACTCATCGCCTAAGCATTCTCATCTCAGCAATACTTAACCTAGTTCTATGCTTCTCTTTTAAAGGCCAACATTTTCTGCTAAAAAGCATTGCAGATCTCACCACCATCTTATAAAAATTTCCTTTTAAGTTAAAGTGATAGTTTTCTATCACACAATAGACACGATGCATTCCTCCACTTTAACCAACCAACATGAATTCTATTAATAACATTCCAATCTATATCACCATCACTTTGAACAATAGACTCAATATAACTAAAATGTTCACAACTCTTAATGATTTGATCACCCATAGTTACAACTCTGTCACTAGATCTACTACTACTAAAATTACATTTCATATATTCAGTTATAGATCTATTTAAAGAAAGGCCTTTAGACTCCAATGTAGACTTTCATAATTCAAATTTTTCTTGAACTCTTTCTTTATTCTTATTCACAAGAAGGATATCATCAGCTAAAAACATACATCAAGGTACATCCTCCTATAAATGTCTAGTAAGAGCATCCGTAACTACAATAAAAAGATATGGGCTTAAAGCCGACCCCTGATGTAATCAAACTAAAATAGAAAAATACTTGGTCAATCCTCCTATTCGAATACAATTAACAACTCTAGTATAAGTATCTTTAATGACTTCAAGTCATATCAACACCTTTCTTTTCTAGAACTCATAAAATAACTTCTCTTGGAACCTTATTGTAAGTGTTTTTCTAAATTAATAAAATTCATATGTAGATTCTCCTTACTCTCTCTGTACTTCTCCATCAAAATTCTCAATAAATATATAATTTCCTTGGTAGACTTGTCTGCCATAATTCAAAGTGATTATGAGAAGTCTTTGTATCACGTCTTAACTTATGTTTAATTAATCTCTCCCTTAATTTTAATGTATGATTTATTAACTTAGTTTCTCTATAATTGCACATTCTTGTGCATCCCCTTTATTCTTAAAAATGGGGACCAAATTACTCTTTTCCCATTCCTCAAACGTTTTCTTAGTTTTAAAATAATATTAAAAAGTTTAGTAAGCCAAGAAACTCCTAAATCTTTTAAATATTTATGCACTTAAATCGGGATATCCTCAAGTCCTACTGTTTTTTCTTGTTTTATTTTCTTTAAAGCCTCCTCAACTTTCTTTTTTTACTAATGCAACAGTAAAAAAAATATTATTATTATTTTTATTAATGATATTATGACCATTAAGATTGATCATTTTTTTACAATTTTTTTTTTAAAAGTTTATCAAAATATTTCACCCACCTATGTTGAATATCTTCATTTAAGAAAAATATTTTTTGATTTTCGTATTTAATGCACTTTACTTGAATTAAATCTTTACTTTTATTTTTTCTTTGTTTGGTTAATTTCTACATATATTTTTCACACTTTTTAATATCTAATGTATAATAAAGATTACTAAAAGAAGAATCTTAGCGTCACAAATTGTTCTTTTAGTCTCTCTATAAGTCAGCTTATATTTTTTTCTAGTTCTTTAAGTTTTTATATTTAAATCAATTTAATAACAAAATTTTCTATATTTTATATTTTATTGCACACTATTATTCCACCACTAATTATTTTTATTTATAAAAATTTTATCTTTTGATTTTCCAAGTACATCTTTTGTCACTTATTTAATATTACTTGTTATTTTTTTCCACATAGAATTAACTTATTCACTATCTCAAATCTTGAAATCTTAAAGTTTACTCATAAAATTAAATTTATTTGTGTATTTTTTGTGTCCCATCTAATTCAATGATAATGTTTCATTGTATTTTTTCTTCCAACTTCTCATTTTAAAATACATTGCTAATAATCGACGTGAGCACTTAAATTTTCATCTGGATAGACCTTACAATTTTTACTTTCTCGACCATCCTTTTTTCTCTTTAGAAAATTTTCAGGTTGTGTTTATTAGATTCATTCTTATAAGTAATAATATGCTCATCTTTTTTCTTACATAAAATATTAACAATAACAAAATTTATTATGATTGTACCTTTTTTATTAATCACTCCAAAATCATAGCCACCATGAATATTTCTAAAATCTTAACCACTCTACTAAATTGTCCATTTAAATTTTCTCTAATAAAAATTCTTTTTTCAGGAGGTATCATTTGTATTAATTATTCTAGGTTATTCCAAAATTTTCTTTTGAACCTATATCTAAATCTACTTAAGAAGCATAAACACTCATAACATTAAAAATCTTAATATTAAAAATATTTTTCAGGGCTATAATTCTTTCTCAAATATATTAAATTTTATAACAATATCTTTTAAACTCTTATCTATAATTACACCTACACCATTTCTAGCACGGCTCTTACCTGAATATCAATGTTTAAAACCTAAGTTATAAATCTCTTGAGCATTTTCTCCAACTCATTTATTTTCTTTAACACATAAGATTTTTATATTCCTACTAACATTTCTTTCTATTCTATGTTGTTTTATTTTCATTTAATAATTTCCCTAAATCAGAATTAGATATATTTGATGAGTTTGTAAATAAGAAGGAATTGGTTCCCTTATATATGCATTGTACTTGTGAATAATGAAATCAACTCTCTTTTCATCCCAAAACCCATTTTCAACAATATATATTAGAGAGAATGATGATGACTCAATTTTAAACAGGTGGGGGGGAGAACTTTCTTTAGTGCGCTTGGTTTAAGATTTGTGTTTGAGAGAGACAGTGAGGTCGAAAGAGATAGAGATTGAGGGAGTATATGATAGATTTGATGTAATACATTACTTATGTATAATTGAATTGAATGAATAATCCTAGGTATAAAGTATTGATAGACTTCTTAAATTTTTAGATAAGCATCATAAGAATAGATAATGATGAGAATGCCAAAAATGGATTATTAGATAAGACAAATCTCTTATTTTGATAGTTGTCCTTGATTTTGATAAAATCTTTGAATGATCCTCCTTTTGGTATGGTAAACCCCCTTCCATCTTAGGAGAGGAAGTTGGGTTTTTTAATTTGAATTACAGCCAATCTTGCATCTTCCATACAGGCTTATGTGAGCCATGCACCCTTTTGACCGTTGAGCTTGACTGTTAGCTTAACTTTAGGCTTGTGTATTTGAGCCTGTATTTTGACTTGACTATTTGATGTTGGAGCCTTTTGGGTCAACAAATGAGATCATTTATTTAATTTGTAAAGTAAAAATTATTTATGATTAAATTTTGTATATTTTAATATTGACTCTTTTTATCAAACATGCTCTAAAATAAGAATTTTTGAACATGAGACAAAAAAAAAGAACACAGACACGCGCACACGCATGCACGCACGCGCACACACATCGATATCTGTTTCATTGAATTTGTCCATAATTGATTTCTCAACCAAAAAAAAATTTAACTACCATGGAAGTTTTTTAAAATTCAAATTTTCATTGATGCCATCTTCACAGGTTGGTCTGATGCTTGCTGGAATGGGTGGTGGTGCATCCACTGATGTTTTTGCAATGGTATGCTTGCATTAAATTCAAGCATATTTTAACCATTTTATTGTGCATTAATTTTTCATTTTATTGTAAAAAACTATTTTATAGTTTTGTTCATATCCTTCTAATAAGTCGTAACTTATGCAAGTTTTGAGGAAGGCATATAAAATTATAAATGCCGTAAATTTCTCGTCATAAATAGGGGTGCAAATGAGTTGAGCATGACTGGATTGGAATCTTGTTCGGTTTGGTTCATTAACCATCAAGCTGAATAAGAATGAGCTCATGTTCGTTGATTTGTCGACAAAATTCTTTTTGTGCAGCTCATTTATTTTTGAGCCGGACATGAATAATTCAAGTTTTTGACAATCATTTGCATCTATAATTTTTTTCATTTATATATATGAGAGAGGGAGATAGAGATTTTGTTGACCAGAACACAATCAAATTGGCTTTTGTTTTGTCTTTTACTTTTTCAGTAAAATTAATAAAATGTTACTGAAGCATAGCTTGTTTACTTGATGAATGAACTAAACACTGATAATTATCAAACCAAACAAACGCTACTTACAAACTTCAATCCTTTTTTTTACTCATGGATCAAGACAATCCAAGGGTTGTTGACACCTAACAACTCAAAAATTATTGACGACGCTAAAACAAAATGATTTGGGAACTCGTATGGAGCTAATTTTTATTAATCTATAAAGTAGCTGACGAAATTTCAGAAAATTTCAAAGAATTATAATGTTGAATTATACTCTTCTAAAAATGAGAACACTTTTGTGGAGACATGGGTTTGTAGACTCCTATCAGCTTAAAAAAGATATTGAGGGTACTAAAAAGATGATTCGGGAACTATTATGGAGCAAATTTTATTAATCTATAAAGCATTAGACAAAAAATTCAGAAGCTTTTAAAGAATTTTAATGTAGAATTATACTTTTCTTAAATTGAGAACAATTTTGTGGAGACTTTTCATCCATGCAATGAATTTCATTATGCTTTTTTACTGTTGGTTAGATTTAAAATTTTGTTGGGGTCTCTGCTCCTTCTCTCTAATAATTCATTGAGCCTCTTCTCAACGAACAACATATCATTGTATATATATATTCCAGGCATGCAAAAGGTGGGAAAAGCGCCAGGCAAAAGTCCTGGTATGATCTTTAATTTTCATCTCAATTTTCTGTTTTTTCTAAAACTTCTTATTGGACTAGTCCTTTAGTGAGCATTGAGTTGATGTAAAACGCCTTGGAATGGAAGTACCAAAATCGGTAAAAAGTGTTAATTTTACCTTTTAATTATGGGGGCATTTACATGCATACAACCCAATTCGTATGGATCTATAGATCAAATGCCTAAACTTTAATTTTTACATTTATACCACACAAATCATTCATATCACATAAAAAATACCACTGTTCTAACTTTTAAAAATTGAAATACACCTTTTTATGCGTTGGTTAGGTGGCATATATGTAAAATTGAAGTTTTGGTGTTAAATATGTAGATACATAAGAATTGCGTGGTATGTATGTAAATCTTCCTTTATTTTAATCTAAAATGCTTGTCTTAATGGAACTAAATTACTGGGGCAAATTAGATGCTACCATGTATAATCATTAGCTTTATTATTGGGATCGATTACTCATTATTTATTTTCTCCTCCCGAATGCTACATAAAGTGTCAATTTTATTTTGTTAAAAATCATTATAATTTTTTTATATCTGTAACAATCTTTGCATTTATTATTTTTCCACATTAATTTTATTTAATATCTTATCAATGCATCATTTTTTTTGCTTATGCTTTTTCCAGTTGGTTTTACTCTCGCCCCTTCTCTTTAAGAAAATCATCTCCTAATCCTTTTTGTTTGTTTTCATTTTATAATTTTTTCAAACCTCCATTTTAAAATTCTTATTTTTATTAAACTTTACTGTTTTTTTTTAGTTTGTTGATACCTTTCTTATATCATACTTTCCATTAAAATAATGTTTATTTTATTTCTCATTTGCTTTATTTCTATGGCTTTGGAAGCTTCAATAGGCTTTTTAGTAACTTTATTTATGAGCATAGTGGGGAAATATATACATTAAAACATCATTTTTCCTAGTTTGTAACATAATTGCATAAGCTTTTTTATGGATTCAGAGAAAGGCTAAGCTGAGGATGATGAAGCAGAAGGATTTTTATGATAGAACCGGGTCTTGGAGCAATCTTTGGGGAAATCTGAGACGTTATGACAGCACAGGTATTAGCCTCTGGTCCTTCATACAATAAGATCTAAAAAATAAACCGCAAAAAATTGAATTCAATCATGATTTTTTAACAAGCTGTTCATTTTAGTTTGCCTTTAAAATTCTCCCAAATCCAAACTTATTTGTGCTGCATGCTTCTTCATTGCCTGTGAATATATCCACTGAAATATACTCGGTTTCAGAACACCTAAACAAAGAAAGGTTGACATAAATCCCATAAAAATCCATTGATTTTTCTGAGGACCCGTTGTTCTGGCTAGTCAAACAAAAGTGTTTAAACTGAAATAATAATAGTGTAATATCAGTTATATTTCATGCATCAAATCCAAACACGAGAATATAACTATAAAATGTCCATCAGTATTTAGAAACAATTATTAAATCGAAATAATGAGATTTACTACATCCAACTATAAAAGAAATAATAGATGTTAAAATGATGCAATGTGAACAATTAAACACTAAATTAAACAATAATAAAACAAAATTAATTTCTCATTAAGTTCGATATGAGCAAAAATAGAACTATTGCAAATATATAAACAAAATTTAAAGGGGGTACGAATCACAACATCTCAATTAGCTATGAATATAATACAATCAGTAATGATAACGCCCATAAGTAGGAATGATACGTTTATCTCATAATAAAAAAATATATACTTACCTCGAGAAGCCAAACACGATACTTCTACGAATTCGACAGTTCGATTATCGATCCTAGACCAATTAAAAAATAAAATTAATTATGCAGTTAAGTTTTACCATTACTTAGATATATAATCTAATAGAAGTTCATTACTATTATTATTACTTTTGTTATTAATTTATTATTATAAATAAATTATGAATGTTGACCAACAAACATAATTAAAATAATATTTGAATTTTGTTTTATTTTGGGAAAACGGTAAATACCGAAGTTCCGCGCGATATAAAGAGGAAAGGGGCGAAGAAAGAAAAAGAAAAAAAAATGTTCATGTGATATAAGAGGAAAGGGGCGAAGAAAAAGGTAAGTTTTGATTCGTACACGATTAGAGCTGGTTGCGAAGCAACAGGGACATTGCGACGTAGAGAGAACGCGGCGTACAGATGATCAAATATTCTCCTCCTGCTCCGACATCGTAATCCTGCCATGATTGGAGCTAGCTAGGAAGCATCCTGCTGGTGTCTATCACGATAAAACTTGAAACAAAGCCTCTGCGGCTTCCGAAGTTCCGCGCGACTTCCAATAGTCTGCACTGGACGTGTGGGGGAATTTCAGGATAGCGGCTTCTAGAGTTCAGCGCACATGAAACCACATTCGGAAATTCCGAACCTCTTAATTTCGGCCTAAAGGTGTTTTGAAATCGTATGCGGAGTAATGATTGTTAAGAAAATAGATGAGTTGAGAAAAATTGGAGAAATTAGTCAGTTAAATCAGCTTTGGTATGGAGGAGCATTTCTCGGCCATGGAAGGGAGGTTAACGACCCTAGAAGAAATGAAATGATAAATACATAGTCCCACACAAACTCTCTTCCACTTGCAATGGGATCGAGCAACATTGTTTAGAAAGGACGCGACCAACTGCAATCATAAAAGTTCAGGCGACATTAGGGCAACGTTGTTGCCTCAGGTGGATCTGGAGCTGCGGGATCGGGCAAAGGAATGGGAAGCAGACTTGAACATCAGCACTTACAAGGAATAGCACGACATCCAGACGGCTGGAATGAGAGACATCGAACAAAATGGGACGGCGGGCGATTCAGGGCAAGAGAAGATCTATTTAATTTATTTTGACCCATAATAGGGAATCATGGTCTGCTTCCAACTGCACATGCATCTTTTGTTGTTGCAGCCCTTTAGGCAAAGGTTGGTTCAAGTGCCTATGAGGACAGACAAGCTAACTAAGGGGCAAGCTGGACTTATAAAAAGAGAGAATTCAATATGGGTCTCAGAATAGAACCCTGCTTCATAGGTGGAATAAATATAGCGACAGAATTATGGAGGTAGATGTCAATCTTCGAGGTGGAGTACAAGCATTGGTGGGTGTGTCGGGCGGAAGAGTATTTTGTTGTGTATGGGTTAAATGGGAAGGAGAAGCTCAAAACGTCAGGGTTATATTTGGAAGGGAAAACCCCAATATGGTTTCAGTGGAGGGAGGCTGGATACTGGATCTGCTCATGAGAGGAGTTTAAGGATTGTTTTTTATAATTTTTTCAAGTTATTCAGGAAGGAGACCTACACGGGCAATTCCTTGCATATACTCGGGAAGGGACTATTATGGAGTATAAGAGAGATTCAAGCTATTGTCGTGGCTGTAGAGAAGATTTTTTGAAGCAATATTGGAGGGGAACTTCATGAAGGGTCGAAAGCCTAACATATGTGTAACATTTCGTCCGTTGAGACCGTAAAATTTAGGAGAATTTGTGGGATTATCGTAGTTTGTTGAAGATCATAATGCAATGGAACGGGCTAATAAGAGTGTCATGCCGAATTGCAACAACCATGAGGATACTAGAAGCTCAAATAGTGGAAGTCCAGTGGGAGGGTTGACAGGACAAGAATCATGGGCGACAACAGTCAAACATCTTATAAAGACAAATTCAGGAGAAGCGTGCTAAGGGTTTATGTTTTTGGTGTGATGAAAAGTTTACCCAAAGACACCGTTGCAAAAATTGAATATTACAAATTCTCACAGTATGCGATGAGGACACAGATGATTAATAAACAAATGATGTTGTGGAGGACCACCTTCATTTTTTTCATCTTGATAACAAGGTGGGTTTTTTTTTAGGGCAGTATTGTTACGTCAGTGCTTAAGGAACAATGTAGTCTTTTATGAGCCTAGGGATAATCGGCTTTTTTTATTTATTATTGTTTAGTATAAAGTGATACTAATAGGTTTAGGGTTTAGTATGCTCGAGATGTTATTTGGAGTCTTAGGTTAGTGTTTTGGAGAGATTTCATACCTCTCGAATTATAGGAATTGGAAGAGATTGCCTACCTCTCAAATTGTAGATGCTTATCTTTAAAGTTTTGAATGTTTGATGTTTTTGCAATAAAATATTTTTTGCCCCCAATCAGCTTCATCATTGTGTCTGATCCAAAATCATTATGAAAGACATATATTAGACTTTGGGCATTCAAGTGATACTATTTAAATTAACATAAACAAAAATTTAATCAACAATGATTTTAGTTAGGGCTTGTTTGTGATCATTTTTATCTCTTATTTAGATTTTTAGTTTTATTTTTCAAGCTTTTATTTAAAAAAAATATATATTTATTTAGTGTAGTTGTATATATTTTTATTTTCAAAAATAAATGAGCTTGTTTTTAAAATCACTTAGAACATTTAAAATTTGCTTTGAGTGTTTTTAAAAATAACTAAAGATTTTATAATATTTCAAACATATTTTATTTGAACTAAAATAAAATAAAAATCAAAAGTGATCCCAAATGGCCTCGTAGGAGTTGTTTGGTTGCATGCATTATGGGTGTAGCGTGAAAGATTTCTATCATTTTTATCTCAAAGGCATTTTGCTTTACCTAAAATGCACACTATACTAAGTTTTCATGTAGCATCTTCACTGCAAATCATCTTTGCTGCGTGTCTCAAGTCGAATTAGAACTTTTGCCGTGGTGCTGAAGAGACCCCAAAAATAAAAGGGGCATTTACATACATACCACACAGTTCTTTTATATTTGCATATTTAACACCTAAATATTTTTATTGACATGCATAACACTCAAATATCTTAAACATCACATCAAAAATACCCCCCTTGCTAACTTTATAGAAGCAAAATACACTTTGTCATGCATGAGTTTATAACACCAAATTGTTGTAAATGTAAATATCAAAGTTGAGGTGTTAGATATGCAAATAAATAAGAGTTGTGTGGTTTGCAAAATGAAAAACCAAACACATTATTGAAAAACTATCTTATTATTATTCGCAGAGGAAGAAGTGAAGGAGAGGTCTAATAAAGCAGCAACAGCAGCAGCAGCAGCAAGGAGATGGAGAGAGTACTCCAGCAAAGGTGCTGATAGACCTCCTACTCTCAAACTTCCAGACACTATCTCCAAATCTGATTAATATAGAAAAATAACAAATTGATAAAAATACTTCTTATTCCAATGATTGAGATGCAAATCTTGTGTATTTATAGGCCATTCAGGTACTTTTCAAGGTCTACAGATTCCCTGATAAGTTACTGTTATCTGAAATCCTATTCTTTGTGCATTTACTCATCACATATAGTTATTTATGAAGCACATTGATGTGATAAAAGAAAGAAAATCAGCATTTTCTAATTTAATTTGATATCAATGATAATATATATATATATATATACACACACACACACACACACACACACAAACACACAACATCAACAACAACAACAAATAAGTCTTTATTTCACTAAGTGGGGCCAGCTGCATGAATCTTTTTTTTCTATTGTGTCCTATTGAGTGTCATATTTGCATTTAATTATAATAAATAAGATCATTTTTTATACAACATACCCAAGTTTTTTTAGGTCCACCTCTACATTTCCTAACAAGTCTAATGTAAAACATATACTCTCCTAACCGGATTATTAAATGGTCGACATTTAATTTGACCAAGTCATTTAAGATGATTTTCTTCAATCTTGTTTGTCGCTGGAGCCGCACTAACTCTTTCACATATATTTTTTTGCATTTTTGCCTCTAAGTGTACAACCAATCATCCACCTAACCTTTCCATCTCAGTAACACGTAACTTAGTTTTATTTTTCTCTTTTATAAGCCAACAATCTGCGCCATAAAGCATTGCAGGTCTCATCATCATCTTATAAAATCTTCCTTTCGAGTCTAAACGGTATTTTTTCTATCACACAGCAGGCCTGATGCATTCCTCTACTTCAACCATCCAACTTGAATTCTACTAATAACATCTCCATAAATATCACCATCATTTTGAACAAATAGTATACGGAGCGGCTTTCATTTCACTTGCAATGTCTATTAAACTATTTTTACTTTTAGGAAGATTCATACTTATCACTCAATTCATATATATTTACATATCTATGCTTGGACTTTAATATTTGCATATATACCACTTACCTCTGCATGAAAGGGTGTATTACACTTTTTAAGAGTTAAAATGCTGGTATTTTCTATGTGATATGAAATATTTTGATGTTGTAAATGTAAAAGCAAAGCTTTGGTGTCAGATATGTAAACACAAGAATTAGGTGGTATATATTGGTATGTATGTAAATTTCTCTTATTTTTTAATGTCTGATTACAACATATGGTATTACATAATAAAATAAATAACACAAATCAATGACTTTAATTTTGCGTTCAATTTATTTAGAGTTGCAATTCAATAAAAACAAAAAAAAAGTTGGTTCTTGTTTAAACAAATCAGTGGTGAAGTTGGTTCTTTTTCTAAACAAATAATGGGGGCGTTTGTAGATGTATAGATTCACCACACAATGTTTACTCAGGTTGACTCAACATCAAGACCTCAAACGAGCCGTCGTAGGTTTTAGAGAAGGATCTGGATTTTAAAGCACTTACATGCTTAAAAACAATTTCTAGGTGAGGAAAAACTTTCATATTTCTTTTAGTCTATTATATTCTATTTTGTAGATATTTTTTTATGCATTTTAATCATATTAACAGTTGGAGAAAATATTAAATCCGGTAAATCGAATGTACGGTCGACGGTATGGATTATACCATGCCTTCAAACACAAAGCATGGTGTGAATCACGCCATCATTCGCATGTCCGGATGAGAGACAATATTTTCTCCATCAGTTGGGGACAATGCACCACGCCTTCGAACACATGACGTGGTGCGAACCACACTAACATCCACACATCCAAAATAGGGATGTAATATTTTTTTTCTATGAGTTGGGGACGAGCCTTGCTCTTCAAAGTCAAATGAACTTGTGCAGTACTACAACCTCACATAATAAAGGGACCCAATTCTTAAGTATTTGCATATGTAACAGCTAAATTTTATTATTTACATTCATCCCATACAAAATTTCCATATCACATCAAAAAATCCACTAATTAAACTTTTACAAAAATGTAATACATCTTTTTAAATAACGAGGTATATATGCAAACAACTGAAATTTAGGTATTAGATGTGTAAATACATAAGAACTATGCGGCACACAAGTAAATCTTCCTAACAATTATAAAATTAGAGGAAAAAAATGAAAATAATTAGGATAATTAACATACATACCACAATTCTCATGCTTTTACATATCCAACACTTAAAACTTTGATATTTACATTTACACACTTCGGTATTAAAATCCTATGCCCTAAAAGTTTGTGATAGTGATATTCTTCATAAGTGCTATGCAAGTAAATATGTAAATATGAAAGTTGGTAGATATGCAAACATATACTAATTGCCTGGTATGTATGTAAATGTCCCTAATCTTTAACCACCAAAGGTCAACCACATAGCCGTTGTGATATATCATATCTCTCATCATAAAAAAATATTTGAAAAATAAGAAAATTTCAATCGCATACAAAAATGACAATAATCTGCAAAATACAATTATGAAAATAAAAGGAAAAAAAAAAAGGTCACAAACACATCCTAATTATTAGGAATTGTCACCAGCTAATTGTGATAATATTATAAATTCTATTCGGTCCATCAAAATTCTCTCCAACTGAAACAATCGTGTGCCGTTGACAATGTCACTGCCATGGATTTTTCTTAGTGCTTCCATCTCTTCTTGCACCAGACGATGTTTTTGAGGACTGCAAGGTGGCATCAAAGTAATAGAAAATAATTAGAATATGATTATATGATTCAGACAAAGTGCCAAAATAGTCCAAATTTTATAAAAATATCAAAATAATCCCTGATTATTTTAAAATTGAGTTCTTCGATGGGGACTATTTCAACCTTGATTTAAAATAGTCGGGGACTATTTTGACACTTTACTAGATTTGGATAGATCATTGGAAAAAAAAAATTACAGTAAAAGTTGTGTTATATTGGTCATACTAGTTTAGGCTTTTTGGTCTTCCGCTTTATCCTATTCTTCTCCGGCTTCAGCTTGTAGATTCGCACCATCCAGTGATGTGTTGTAAACACCTGTTTTCAGGAATTGTTTTTATGTAATACAAGACACTAGTAGAGCCCTTACATAAATATTTATCATCTAAACTTTGCTTTAGCATTTATACCACCCAAAATCTTTCTTATCACATCAAAAGTACCACCATTTTAACTTTTAAACAGTGTTACACTTTTTCATGAATAGGTAAGCTGGCATACATGTAAAAATTGAAGTTTAAATGCCAGATATGTAAATGCAAAAGAATTGAGTGTTATGTGTGCAAATTTTTCATATAAATATATA